AACTCCTAATAATTAGATATTGCATATCCTGAATCTTATATGTAACTTTCCCATACTTTTACTCTAATTTTCCATTTTTTTAATACTTTTATTTTTAAAGAAGTTTCCCTGCAGTTTTTTATTTCTTCAATCATATTTTTTATTTCCAAGACTTCAGTCTTCTTGTCCACTCCTCCCTTAACCACCCCCTCAACTTCAAATTAGGTCATCCTATTTTTATTTCATAGATGAACTATCTTCTGTTGTTAACATTCTGAAGATTTTGTTATCTTTTTTCTTTTCATTATCTTTTTTCTTTCTTTGTTAGTTCTCATTTCTTCCATCCTTTTTTTTTCTTTTTCTTTTTTTGCTTTGGTCTCTCTCTCTTTTTAAATTATTAGATGCTTTCTTCATATTTTTGACCATCCTTGGTAGTCTGCTCATATGTAAGAATGAGACAAACATTTATATAATGATTAGACTATATCAGATACTGTTGTAAGTGTATTGTCTATTTTAAAATATTTACTCCTTGCAATGACTTTAGGAGTTAGTTACTATTATTGTTATCCCTATTTACAAAAGGGAAAGCTGAGGCACAAAATGTTTACATCACATGCCCAATGTAACACAGTAAGTGGCAGAGGCGGAATTTGAATCCAGGCATCTTGACTCCATAGTCTCTTGTTTTAATCTTTATACTGTTCTGCCTCTTACTGAAATCAGAAGCTAATTGTAAATTTTGTGCATGTGTGTGGGGTTTGTGAAAGTAATACTCCCTGTGTGAGCTGTTTCTTTGAGGAACATCTGATGGGGTCCTTTTCAAGGGTTGATTCGATTTAACAAAGAATCTTCTGCTCTTCTTACTAGAGGTTTTAAGCCCAGCTGCTGGCATTTTGGTTGTTGAGTGAATGGTGGAAGAGAACTGGGGTTACTAGTCTCAATATTTTATATAACTTGACTTAGTCTTCCTGCTCAGAGACTTTCTTCTTTAACTTATCCGGAGAATAAACCTCTAGTCTTCTCCCATGATCAGAAATTGTGAATTACTCAATTGTACTGAATCTGGGAAGGGTCTTTGGATATGACCATGACTCCTGTTTTGAGTCTCGGTGTTACCTAGTTTTCAGGGCTGCCTATTGCTGAGCTTTTTATGGATTTTGTAATGTAATGTGATTGAGTTTCATTTGCTGCACTGTTTATCTTTCTTGTACTTGCTTTCAGGTTTCTTGTAATTTTCTCATTTCACATTCTTTTTGACTTCCTTTTTATGCAGAAACTAACAATAAAAAAATGTTTGTTATCTTAGAGGAAGACTTTTGGGTAAATACTTGAATAAGGTGCACATTCTTTTTTTTTTGAGTCCAAGTCTGACTCTGTTGCCCAGGCTGAAGTGCAGTGGCACACTCTTGGCCGCCACAGCCTCTACCTGCTGGGCTCAGGCGATCCTTCCGCCTCAGCCTTTCAAGTAGCTTGAATAACACACACGCACTACCACAACTGGCTTATTTTTTGATTTATTATGGAGTCAGTGTCACCAAGTTGTCGAGGCTGGTCTTGAACCTCTGAGTTCAGGCAATCCTTTCGCCTTGGCCTCTCAAAGTGCTGGGATTACAGGTTTGAGCCACCATGCCTGGCCAAGATGCACATCCTTGATGTACCATTTAAAATTCTGTTAGGTCTGTTGAAATTGATCTCAAATGTCTCCTCTACCTGAAATATTGAATAATTTTTTCCACTAGATATACCTTTTGAAAAATCTCTCCTTTCATCTTGGAATTTTGTTTTCTGTCTTATGGGTCTTTTATGTCTCATATTATTTGTATCAGCATGCTTTTCTTACAGTCTGCCCACCCACACCAGACTGTAACTTTTTGGGGAACTTGACCAATGTCTCCTTCACAGAGGCTCAACGGAAGTTTGTTACACTGTGTGTTGTGTATATGTCTTGCTCTCTTGTGTTTCTTGTGAAATATTTTTAGAATATCAGCAAAATTACATGTTGAAGTTAATAAATAGGGAATTAGTGCAGTATAGCAACACAAGAGATTAAATTTAGATGTAAAAAAGTCTGAGAATTGTTAAACATAGATATTATGAAAAATTTTTTTTTTTTGAGTTGGAGTCTCACTCTGTCACCCAGACTGGAGTGCAGTGGCCACTCCCGGCCACCTCAGCCTTGACCTGTTGGGCTCCGGCGATCCTTCCGCCTTAGCCTTCAGAGTAGCCAGAATTACAGGCGCGCGCTTACCATGCCCGGTTAATTTTTTGATTTTATTGTGGAGTTGAGGTCTCGCCTGCCCAGGTGGGTCTCGAATCCACTCACCTCAGCCTCCCAAAGGCACAGGATTACAGGCTGAGTCACTGAGCCAGGCTGAAATTATGAAAATTTTTAATGTAGATTCCTAATAATAACAAAGTACATATCTGTCTTTCTGCATGACACACAAGAATGAATTACATGATCTGTTATTTTTTTTTTTTTGACCAGGCTTATGATTCTGCAACTTAGATAATAGGTATATTTGGTGTTGGGTTATTTTTATGATATTTGTAGATTAATGGGTACAATGTTAGGTGCCAGAAATAATTCAAAAAATTTCTGCAGTGATATGCTTTAGGTAAAATAATGTTTTAAATGTATTGGAATAACTGAACACATACAGATGCCCACATTTGTCATATTCCTTTTAGAAACTGATGTTTAATTTCTGTATTTTATAACTTTTAGTTTTACAAGTCAATGCTGTTAATTTTCTTCTCTCCTATTCTTTAAAATGTTCAGAAGGAAACGGAAACTATTGCAGAATTTGAAATCTAAATTATTTGGAGAAAGATTGTTACATTAAATTATTTCTCTTGTACTGTATTTTAAGAAACTTGAGATACATTTGTTTTTAAAATATATTCTTATTTCTTTACAAATAAAGAAGAGGAAGACTACCATCTGTATTTTAATATGTAGAAATTGCTGGGGTATGGAAAACATCAGTGGTCACTAATATACTCTTTTGTAGAGCAAGTCAGTACTTAGGAAACTAATGGTATTTGATTTATTACAACAAAAATAGGCATTTGATTTATTACAACAAAAATTTTGTTTTCAAATTTTTTGGCCCCTTATAAATAATTTATTGGGGGTGTGACTTAAGACAACCCATAGATGCATTACTCTAAGAATTTAATTCTTTAACCATATTATTTGAGTACAGCATGTGTAGATGCCAAAAATACTTTTTAATTTTTTTAAACTTGTGGGAAACGTGGAAAAGACAAATTTGGTGTTTATAGTTTGATTTGGTTAATTCTCTATTACTCTTCTTTCATAATTATTTCAAGAAAAATGTAATCATGTATAGATTTCTATTCATTTGCAATACAAAATTAATGTGAATTTCACTTCAAACTATTATTAAAAGTTTCTCAAAATCTGATTTATATTTTTAAGTGCTGTGTGTTGTAGGTGGATAACTTACTTAGCTTTAACTTTTGGAGAAAAATGTTTTTTAAAAAATTTTTATTAGATCACTAAGTTATAAGCAATGATGATGATACTGTTATATTCTAGTTAATTTAATGCCCTTCCTATATATATACACACACACACAGGAAAAATGTATATTTATGTCTGCATATATCCTTTTAGTGTCATATAATGTATATTTATGTCTGCATATATCCTCTTACGGGTTTCTGTGAAAATTAATTTGTCTTGCTTATTAAAACACGTCAGTCCTTGAGAGTGTTATTTTTCTTTGACAGTTTTTTTGAGTTACTTTTTTGAAGGTATTAGTATTAATTTCAGTGAGAAGGCAAAACACGGACATGGTTGACTATTTGAAGCAAATGACCTTAGGAAATGCCTTTGAGATTATTTTTTAACAGGTTAATTTGTATGGCTTTTTTTACGAGTGTGAGAGGATTGTTTTCATGTAATCAAGTCCATCCTGTATTTTAGAGTCAAAGAAACTATAATATTTGGGTATGTTCACTTTTGAAAGATAGAAAAAGAATTCAGTTATAATTTATCAGAATATCACTTGCAGCTACTGATTCACAATTACAATTTCCAAATTGTTGACTGAGAAACAATTAATATGAGATTTATTTTTCATTTTAATGTATACCACCTATTACTTATTTTTATGTATACCACCTAAGATTTATATTACCTGTTCAGGTTTTTTAGTTTTTTTATGGTTTCTTAGATAAAGCTGCTTCTTTTTCTTAAATCCCAGATACTAATAGTTTTATCCTTCTATTTTTATGATATACATTTAGGACAAAAGAAAGCATATATTATCCTACTGCTTGTCTCTCTTACATACTTTAAGAGTAAAGAAGAGAGGAATTCTGGATATTTGCTTGTGTTTTTCTCATCCCTTGTCTCTCATGAATACATGACTTGATTTATCTTGATCAGCCTAGTAACTAGCTTCACATTTTTCCAAAAGTGCAGAGCAGTTTCAGCTAAAAATACACATATCAAAATGCTCCAAAAGTTGTGGCCACAATTCAAAAATGCTGATCAATTTTGAAAATCTAAATCAGCTTCGGCCATGAAACCGAGGGAAGAACCTTTGTGGTGGGGACAGATTTCCAAAAATTCACCACAGTCCTGTTCTTAGCTGCAGTTTGTGCTGATGTTGCCAGACAACTGAGGAATAGATGCAAAAAGCAGGAAGCATTATTGAATTGAGCCCTAGCGCCAATTTGGGAAAAGCAAATTAAAATGTAAAAGAATATTTTTCCACTCTTGGCGTCTCAACATGAAATGGCAAAATACATGGTTGCTGAAAAAGTTACAGAAATTGCTAATTTTGCCAAAAAGTAAAAGCCAATTGCCAATTCTTTTTACATTAAAAAATGCATAGATAGTTTTAAAAAGGGTTTTTTTTTTAACCCAACTGAAAAAGTTTTAATTTCTAAAGCAAAAAATATATATACATTTAAATTGGAGAAGTATTTTGACACAAGTGACTATGTATTGACTTGTTTCAGTATCTTTTGATATTTTTCAGGTTTCACTTGAAGAATGGATGATGATGATTTTGGTGGTTTTGAGGTATGCACTATTATTAACTTTAACTTGTTTTAACTTCATGGGATTGTAATGGGGTAAACTGTTTTGAAGATATATTATTTCTCATTGGTATTCATGATCTTTTCTTGATCATTTGAATGACACTCTGAAATTTAAAAAATTAAATCAAGGAAAATTAAAAAATATCCCCTCTGAAAGTTAAAACTGATTTATTATTATTGAACATTTGGTCTTACCCATAGGAACAGTTTAAATTGAAGTAATTGAGTGCTACCAGGTGAAGTGCTGAGGGAGATTTAGAAAGTTGTCAGCAGATGATATTGCTGGGATACATGTCTGTTAGGAAATACTTGTGAAATGAGGGATGAGTATTAAAGATCCTGTCACATATTTGCATGTTTACACCTGTAATGAGTTGATTTAGTATATTAAGTACACAGCCTTTTGGTGGTTTATAAAGCTAATTAGTACATTTGTGATGTTAGACTATTCTTTCAGGTTTGGGTTGTATACTTTGTAAGTGGAAATTGTTAGCTGAAGAAGCACTGTCTTTTCCCTAATTCTTTTCAATGTGTGTTCGTTTTATTGAAATATTTTATAACCCAGTTATTTTTATGGAGCCAGTATAGTCTTGCAGGAAAGTCTTTGGATTAGGAGTCAGGATGCCTGAGCTCAAGCCCTGGAACTACCATCAAGTGAACTCTGATTTTTTTTTTTTAAAGACTTTCACCTAGTATGGATTTGGCAAAGAAGGAATTGTAAAATTAATGATATTAATAGGAGAAATAAGATATTAAGTATATATTTAGTTTTCTAAATTTCATGAAACAACAGTATGAATTTTTTAAGGGTTAGAATCTTTTTCTTTTTGTTGATCTTTGATATTTGTTACTGTGGAATATGGATGTACCTGTTTTCTATGTTTCATCTAAAACTGTTTTTTGTTTAGCACATTTGTATACTTTCAGTATTTTGTTTAATATTTTGGGTTTTGTTGAGTGATTGCATCTTATTTATGTTACTGGAATGTAATATTTAAAATTTTCTTAAAATTCCTTCCATTTGATGAAAATGTACGCTTCAGATACCATCTGGCTTAGTTTATTGTTTGGAAGTTGTTAGTTATTTAAAAGTTACAATCTAGCATCATCTCCTTTATTTAAACCATGCTTCATGTAGTATATCAGGAAAAACAACAGTGTGGATAGTGCTACTTAGAGTAACAATTACATATTTCAGCATTCAATAAATCTCTTTCAGTATTACATAGGTACTATGTTAACCAGCATTACAATTTAATTGTATTTATTAGGTTTTTTTCTTTCTACATCCTGCTTATGAAATATGAAAGACCTCTATCCTTGACTATAAAAAATTTATTTTTTATTGTTTGTAGATAGTAGCTCTGATAGTCTGTATCACTTAGCTTCTGTGCAGATTGTCCCACTTAACTTCTCCTTTAATGACAACTCAATGCAGAATCCAAATTGAAGTCCTGGCTCTAATTTTCAGTAATAATTTTGCTGTGACCCGGGCATCTTCATTCTTATCTATAAACTCAACATTCAGTAATTGACTTCCAGTGTAGGAGGGTTTGTTAATAGATAACGTCAGCTTTAAGAATTCTCTAAATGTTGAATGCCAGTAAGTCCAGCTAGTAGATTATTCAAGAAGATAGATAAATTCTGCTTCTCTAATTTAATCTAATTAGATCTTGTGCTAATTATTATTAAATAAAAAGATTTGGTCTCTAGATCTCTACAGGAAAAAATTATTTTCTTTACATAGGTGGATGTTATAGTGATTTAAGTTAGAATACTTAGATATAAAGTTCACAAGTGAAAATGTGATTAAGGAAATATAAAAAAATTATTGATGAATTTCTTTGAATGAAGAACAAAAATTTTTTTTGAAGATAATAAGGCGTGGATACTGGGGGTGGTGAGTTGTGGTAGGGGTGGTAGCAATAAAGACTGAAAAGCTTTTGAGTATTGAGAGAGAATGCGAAAATGTGTGGTATGTTACAGAAAATATGCTTGTAGACCTGGGATGCATTATCACTGAAATAGCATTTCTACTTCTCAGATCTTCTAAAATAACCCTGTCTTGTTTTTTAGGCTGCAGAGACTTTTGATGGTGGAAATGGTGAAGCACAAACAATATCTCCTGCTATTCCTTGGGCTGCTTTTCCTACAGGTATTGGTATACAAAACATAGGAATTTTTTTTTCCATTTAACATTTTTGCCTATTCTTTGAAAGTCTATTTTACACCTTTTTACTTGGCTTCCTCTGATCTGAAAAATGGAGTGATCCAGATTTACTCTCTAATATAGTTTTTTTTAAAGTCACAAATTCCGTAATTTTGACTTGAGATGTGGTTGTAAAAATGATATCATGAACATTAAATTAAATGAAGGAGCCGGGCTCGGTGGCTCAGCCTGTAATCCCGCACCTTTGGGAGGCTGAGGTGAGTGGATTGCCTGAGCCCGCGGGTTCTAGACCCGCCTGGACAGGCAAGACCTCATCTCTACAATAAAATCAAAAAATTAGCCGGGTGTGGTAGCGCACGCCTGTAATTCCGGCTACTTGGAAGGCTGAGGCGGAAGGATTGCCGGAGCCCAGCAGGTCAAGGCTGCGGTGGCCGGGAGCGGCCACTGCACTCCAGTCTGGGCGACAGAAGTGAGACTCCAACTCAAAAAAAAAAAAAAAATTAAATGAAGGTACGATTTACATTTTAACATTTATATTTGTTTTAAGAAGATGAAATGACAACATTTTTAGGTTGTTCAGTTCATTAAAGACTCCCTATTTATAATCTGAAAATAATTTATCATTCCCACCAGTATTAAGTTTTTTGTTTTGTAAGGAGATCATTCAGAAGTATTGAAAAATTAGAATGGTATCTAAGAAGTTAAATTCAGGAGTAAATTTTATTCTTGACACATATTTCTTGGAAGACTTAAAGTCAATATTAACATAATTCATGTTTAAAGAATATTTTGAGCGGTCTATAATTTTCTGTCAAATCATTGTAAAGTCAGGAGTAGAAGATGAAAGTATCTTTCTTCAACAGCTCTGCCTAGTCCTAATTTATTAGAATTATTCATCCTGTAAATATTTATCAAGTGTTTATTATGCATTAGGCCCTGTGGGGTTATAGAGATATGCAGAACACGGTCTAGTCCTTTACTTCAAGGGTAGATAAGGCTGGCACATGCATGTTGCCCAGTTGTGAAAAATGATTATTTTTGTCATTTACTTAACACATGCTTATTTCATGCCTAGTATGAATCAAGTACTATCCTTGAACTTATATATATTGTTGATCTGGAATTTGAAGGCTGTATATAATTTCAACAGACAGATGTAGGAGAATGAGAAAAGATTTTGAAGGGAGAAAAATGAGACGAAAGTACAAATGAGAGAAAGGGGATGGTATGGTTAGGGTGTTCATTTTTGTTTGAGGGCTTGTGTATGTTGTTTCCTTTTTGCTGGGAATTGTTACTCTCTTGCTTCCCACTGCCACTCTTTCCCACTCTCTTACCATACTAACTCCTACCTTTTTTAATACTTTTTTTTTCTGCTATACCTTCCCAGTGAACCCTCCCATGTCTACATGAACCCATTTTTGACTTTCTCGTTAGCTGGAAGTTTTATGGGGCTAAGTACTATGTTTCTTTAACTTGTTATATCTTAAATGCTGAGCATAGTGTCTGTCTTATAGTTGGTCCTAAACTAATATTTGTAGAATGAATAATTAAAGAAAAAAGAATGCACGAATTAGTAATTGAATGAATGGATAGAATAGGATGGCAATAGAAATGGAAAGGAAGAGTTGGAATTATGTTTTATTTATATCATGGTATATATTTATATAATTATTTATATATTTTATATATTATAAGTTATATTATATATAATGGCATTTTCAGTGTGCTGTCACCTATTTATTTATTGTAAAGTAGGCAGAACAATTATATTTTGCCCATTATATGGTGGCAGAAATTGTTTAAAAAAGTTTTGTAGTTTTGATACAAGTAAATACGTTTAGGGATAAAGTCTAGTCTTTCAAATTCTATTTCAGATCTTTTTCAGTAACGTAGTTTTTTGAAAAGAGTATCAGCAGGACTTTCTTACTGACTGGATGTGACAGTGACAGAAGAGTCAGAATGGGTTTTTGAAGTTTCAAGTCTTGATTCTGAAAGAATGGTGTTTCCCATGAACAGAACTAGAGAATTTCAGAGTTACTTTGGGATGGATAGGGCCTTAATGAATTTATTTTAGACATGTAAATTTAAGGTACCTAGAACTCAGGAGAAAAGTCAGGGCTGGGGTTTGAAAGTTTTCCCATTTATAGTGACAGTTAAAGTTGTAGGAAATCACTGGGAGAAACAGTATGTAGAGAGACTAGGGTTGAATAGATTAATTTGTATATTCATACTTACAAAACATACGAGGCCTTAGAGTTAAGGGGAGAATGCTAGAGAGAGGGCTAGTGCTGCAACACAAAAATCTGAAGAAGAGAATTTTAAAGAAACTTTAGACTGTGGTGTCAAAGACTGTAGGCCGTGAGATCGAAGATTTAGGAAAAACCCACAGGTGGTCATGAGTGACTTTTGAGGAAAAGGTTTCAGTAGATTGGGGGCTGAAGCTAAACTGTATTTTACTTTTTATGAAAGCATGATTAGAAACTGCCTTCCTGTAACAAATTGTGGCAGTGTACTGAAGAATTGTATATTGTGAGCAAATTATGTAATTCCTGTTCTCTAGGAGTGAACATTGTTTGTCATGGCTGCACATGTCTGCATATTAGTCAAGTCCTTAAAGCCTACTGAAATTGGAGTTAAGGAACAAATCCTCTGACACACACACACACACACACACACACAGTCACACACAGTCACACACTGTATCTCCCGCACTCCCTTAAAAAAAAAAATCAAATCTGAAGAAAGAACTCTTTCTGGGTTTCCTCAGTGACTTACAGAAATGGAGAAAAACAAACATGGTCAAGGACTGAAGTTAAAGGCATGGCATATGTTTGCTTAGTCATAGCAATCTTTACCTTTATGAGAGAATTTGTTTTCCTCTGGTTGCTAGAGAAGTCTGCCTCTGAATCAGGTAGTTGGAAGTTGTTTAGGTGAGAGTGATATGAACAAACTATTTAGCATGACAATTTAATCACTTCTTTATGAAGACCAGAGAAGATAGGAACCCTTAAGAGATCTAAGACAGATTCTTTTCAAGAAAGACTATTCTTTTTTGGTGTGTGTCTCTACCTACGTCTACCTACATCCCAGTTGTCCATATGGCAAATATTTTTTTTTTTCTTCTTTCTTTTTTCCCCCCTGTGGTCGTTTTTTTTTTTTTTTGAGTCGGAAGAGGCGATTATTAACCACATTTTACCACAACTTAAAATCCAAGAAAATAACTTAGAAACATTGCTTAACATTTTTAAAGTATTTGGGGGTGGGGGAAAATAGAAATCTTCATACTTGGGGTTAGGATAAAGGATTTTTTAAAGTAAGAAGTGTAATGGCTTTAGTCTGACTGGTGGTTAGTTGGAAGATGATTTCATAATAGCAACTGAGCTAGCTAATTAATGTATTTCTCAGTGTCTGTTTAGCGCCTGCAATTCTGTTAATGGATCAAGGTGCCTCAAGACGGGCATCCTGTTGTATAATGGCATCATTTATGCTAGCTTATATACAGTACTGATGATGAAGTTAATGACTTACCAGTCAGAATAAATGAAATGTACATTACACAGACTATTGGCACTTACACAAACTATTATCTCCAGTCCTGTATTTCATCAAGGTATGACATCTAACCTGTAAAATGTGTCTTTACACCTCCATTATCATAGGAATTGGAGAATGGAAATAAGAGATGAATGTGTATAAATGATCAGTTTCTTTTTTTTTCCCTGTTGCCTTTACTCTCATAAACATATGGAGATTGTTACTTTATTCCAGTGAAAGCTACCCGAGGAGAGAATTGCCTTCGTTCAAGCATTTTCCTCTTCATTTCGTAGCCTTACCCTCCAGATTTCCTTCCTGAGGCCTGTGAGCCAAATCATGATCTACGTAGTGTTCTCAGACAGTGTCTGTTCCTATGTGTTTGTCATTGCTGCCTCATCTCCCATCTGCTAACTGGAGTCTTATTTTTCTTTGAAGAAAGGTATTGTGCTTTCACTGAATTTAAAACTACTGCTTCTTCTGAATTACCTTTATTTTATTTCTACACCACTTGCTTGGTGCTTAGCTTACGCTAATTTGTATTTTAATGAATTAATGCATTGATTAATTAATTAATATATATATATTTTTGAGTCTGAGTCTCACCATGTTGCCCAGGCTGGAGTGCACAGGCTTGACTTGCTGTGCTCAGGCCATCCTTTCGCCTCAGCCTTCCAAGTAGTTGAAACTACAAGCATGTGCTACCACATCTGGCTAATTAAATTTATTGTGGAGATGAGGTCTTGCCAAGTTGCCCCGTCTGGTCTTGAACCCCTGGACTCATGTAGTTCTCTTGCCTCCACCTCCCAAAGTGCTGGGATAATAGACATGAGGCACTATGCCTGGCCGCTAATTTGTATTTTTAAAAATGTGGCAGAACATATGTAGCATACATTTCAGTATTGTATTTTGTAAAACTGAGACTCTATAGTCACCAAACAACTCCCTATTTCCCCTACCCCCAGTCCCTGGCAATCCCTATCGTACTTTCCATCTCTATGAATTTGACTGTTCTGGATATCTCATATAGTATTTGTCTTTTTGTGACTAGCTTATTTCACTTAGAATAATGTTCCTCAAGATGCATCCATGTTGTAGAATGTGTCAGAATTTCCTTACTTTTAAACCTGAGTATTATTCCATTGCATGTATAGTTTAAGCAGTGAACTGTGTTTTAAATCTTTTGAATCCTAAATGTCTAGTAGTATTGTGCCTTGTTTATAAATAGTGCTTAGTAGTTGTTTCTTGATGATTATTAGTAGAGTAGATTTACTTTCAGTTAACTCTTTTTGATTCTTTTTAATTATTTGGGGATATTAAATAGTGTTTCATTAGTTGAAAGAAAGCAAACAGACTTTTCAAAAATATACAAATCTTGGAAATCTAAGATACTTACTCAAAGTAGGCTAGGAAGATATTTTTTCTAGGACTTAGTTAACATTTATGGTCATTTT